AGGCACGCAGGACGCTCTTGTTGCTAGGGTCCCAGGCTCCGAGTGTTCCCACAATGAGCACGTCGACCGTCACGTCGTAGCCGCGGCCCCTCAGGATGTCGGCCAGCGGGGCGTACTTCTCCCACTTGCAAGCCCAGGCGTCGGTGAAGGCTTGGCGCCGGTTCTCGAAGGGGATGGTTACGTCCACGATCACGACCTTCTTGGCCTCTTTGTTTGTGATGACGATCTCAGGTCGCATCTGGCTCTCGCAGCCCAGGATGGTGCGGTTCATGGAGATCTCCCTTGCTGTGGCCGGGATGGCCCTCACCAGGCTAAACCAACTGGGATAGTGTAGGCCACCATTTTCAAAGTAGCTAGTGTCTGAGCCACTCAGCCTGAATGAAAGATACAAACTGCTTGATGGAAATTTGAGGGGGGCCATTCCAGTGCAAAGAAACCCCCTTCCTGTTTAATGCTGATTCTCTTGGTACATAGCCTAATTGGGGTGAAATAAGGCTATTGAGTTTTCTTTGAGTGACAACTGCAGCGGGAACATACAGCTGCTTTGTCCAGATGCATGGCACTGACAGGCTGTTTTACGACTATGTTTTTTACAGCTTGTTTCCACTAAATTTCATACAACTTACTAACGTCTGGGCCATTTTCCTTGGAGTCTCATAACCACTTTATTTACTGTGAAAAAAAATAAAACAACATAAAAATACCATAAAAAGTTGTTCCATGTTTCTTTTCACCTGTGTTGTCTCCGTAATAAAGTTCACCTATATAGGAAGCACTGCTGAGGAGTAATAGAACCATAATATTTTCCTACTTTTGTTTTTAAGCAACCATCAGATTTATTTATAACCTTAGGGTGAATTAGGTGTTACTCAAATGTTCTGACATGTTTCTTTTTCTCCCTTGGAGCAATTATGCTTAGGCACATATGGTGTCAATTTTGCTTGCTCAAATTCAGACAATAAAGGTGTACACTACATCTCACTGAGGCAGACAACACCATTTACTTTGGACTTCTATATTCTCTGGTCCAGTTTCTTAGGAATTTCCACCTACCAAGTGAAAAAGCAGAGAAAGTAATTTCAGCCTCTAAATATAAATGACTTTCTGGTTAAAATAAACCAACATGTAAGTGGAACTAATATTGACCCGTATCAAGGGAGGAAAAATGTGCACAGAAATATCTTATAGTCCAGAGCTCCTGGATCTCAGAAAAGGGAGACAAAACAAAAGAAACAGTTCCACACATATAAGAGAATAAGACCAACAAAATCCACAACACTGGTAAATCTGGGAGTTTGCTTACCCCCTGATTAGGAAAATATATGACACCTATTGTTAAATTTTGCTTTGCACTCCAAAATATCAACCTTCCAGAACAGTTCTTGACCTTTATCTGAGTTAGGGTACTGTGCAACTCTGTTCAAAGACACTGGAAAGAGTCTTATTAATATCAGAGATGGACGGGTCATTGCTACCATATTCAGGAGAGACTTGGGGCATATTTACACAATGGCAGCAGCCTGCCCTGGACAGAATGGCCTCAAATATCCTATGCCCATCCACTCTTCCATACACACACCAAACCCAGAAATACATCAGCGAGGCTGATCTGGGGCTATCTCTAGCAACTGCCCTCAAGGATATGGAAGACAGTAGTGGTGTGCAAAATGGGCCATATTCAATTAGGATTTGGCCCAAACCGGGGACAGTGATTCGATTTTTGATTCGGATCACTGTCCCTGATTCAATGCTGAGAATCAGCAATTTGACCACAGACACAGCTTTAGATGTTTTTTCTACATACCTCAAGGTACCATGTGTGGCTCATGGTGGGCTGGATGGAGCATCCCACAGGAGTGTGCCCCCCTCCTCCCCATGGCGTGCTCAGCAGCGAACCCAGAAGTGGACTGGAAGTACTCCTGATCCACTTTGGGGCCACCAGGGAGTGAGCTGAGGGCCACCCCCCCCCCGTGCTCCTTTGGCTCAGCAAACAGCTGCAGGGGGGGCCCTGGATGCCCCCCTCCCCAAACCCAGGAGGCACCAGTCACTGAGCTGGGGGGAGGCAATGGGGGCCCCCCCCAATGTGCTCCCTGGTGGAGCCGGAAGTGCTTCTGGTCCATTTCTGGGTCTGCTGCTGAGTGCGCTGTGGAGCCCCCTGCACTCCTGTGGAATACTCCATCTACCCCAGCATTCATGAGCTGCATTGGTACTTCAGGTATGTTGAAAAAACATTTAAAGCTGTGTCTATGTCTGAACCTCTGAATCTTTTGGAATCTCTCTGAAGTGATTTGGAGGGTTCCAATTCTATTTAGAGAGATTATAGGGTCTCCTGATTTGATTTGAATTCGGAGATTCAGTCACCGAATTGGGCTAAATCTCTGCTGAATCAAATCAGGGACTGAAGCTTTGCACATCCCTAGAAGACAGCATGCCCCAAATGTCTTCATTAGCATAGTCCCGGGCTTAGAGAGAGCAAGCAGAAGTGGGTAGATGAGGCACAGACCCGGGCTGTCTCAGCAGAAGCCTGGTGCCAGTCCAATGGAGATGTACCTTTAGAGAGCTACAGGTATCCTCAAGTCTACCAGTCATTCATTTGTAATGAAAATCATTCAACAGGAGCTAACTCAGCACAGAGTCTCTGTTCAGAAAAAGGACTTGGTAGAAGTAAGAGAGTCACTTCCAAGGGAGAAATATCCTTGTACTATTTTAGTCACTGATTCCTTCTGTCAAACACAGAAGTTAACAAGTTGCGCAAGCTACAAATGTAGGTCATCGAAAACAGATATCTTCAAACAAAGTAAAGAGGGAATGGAGGAATCTTGGAAGGATTCCCCAAAAACTATATAACAAATGGCTTTGGTGACAGTTGCAGATATGTTGTTTGAGGACAAAGCAGCTTAGGCAATTCTATAGCACATTTTTCTGAAGAAACTCAAAGAACCTTACAATAAGTTATTAAGCCTCATGCTCTCAGTGGTATAGACATTTTGCAAATAGATAATATGGATAGAAAAGCTTGTCCAAGGTCTGCAATAATTTGGGGAAAAAATATTACTGAGTAGGTGGGATCGACAAAGTTATTGTGGTTTGTGCCAATCTTTTTAACCACAGAAAGGTCCAGACAAAGAAAGTACTGACAAAGTGAGTACACTGAAAATTGGACTACATTGGGAGATGACTATAAGAGAAGCACACTCCTCAATTAGTTGTTAGTACACATAATACATAAGTAAATAAATAGTAATTATTCACTGCTAATTAAAGATAAAAACCTAACACCCAGGCACAGAATAAAACCACTATTATTATTATGGATGTAAATGAGTTGCAAGCAACTGAATTTGCCAGGTTTGGAGCTACCTAATTTACTGCTTAGACTTTGGAGTGTATAATTGCTTGATGTGTCGCCAAGTGGTGTATGCACACACCTGATGCAGGTAGGCCTCACTCACAGAACTTGCTAACCAGCACTGACTGCTGAACGACCTGAAAGCAGCATCTTAGGAATATGCATGTGTGGTTTAAGGATTGATACAGGCTGTGGAGATGCATCAAAGTTAATTAATAAAAATTATAATGAATCTGGTAACAGGATAGTCTAAAACATGCAAGATAAAGATAGAATGTACAAGAAATAGGATATTCATTAGATACAAGGTCCAGTACAACTATGATGAGAATAGAATGCAAGATGTTGTTCTGAGCGGCATATTCAAGAGAATAGGAAAATCTTGAAACTTTGTATTAGCTGAAGGGATGGATGTGGTTTGTGCTGATACCTTGTCACATACGTCTATTAACAGCTGCTAACCTGCTGGCTACATATGGTAGAATGGAGTTACATGTTAATCTTGCAGAATGCTAAGTGTTGGGCAGTCCTGAACACCCCTGACCCCTTTTTGTGTTGGTTATGTCGCTACATTCCTCCTCCCAGATACTCTGATCCCAGAAGCAATTCAGTCTGAATCACAATGATTAGCATGTGAGAGAAGTGGA